GATGGACAGATAGCCGCCCCAGCGGGCATGAATAACTATATGCACCCTCACGTTGCAAGTTTGGGAAAAGATTGCAGGCCTCATATTCCTCATCTTTTGCAAGGCAGTGGTGCATAGATTCACCCACGTATGTACATATAAACTTTATGTCATGAAACTTGGACTTACCTCACACTCTGGTGTTTGTATGGTGCACGGGTATAACCCAGGATCCCTTTAGCTGGCGGTTTTATTCGGACGATCGGCAAACTGCTCCCCCTTATTTTTGTTAAACTTTTTTTTGATCGGTTATAAAAAGACCGCACTCAACGCACACTGTAACCGCGCACCGCAACTTTATAATTGTGCCGTTGTTGACTTCAACATGGGCCTTTTATAGATGAAAGTGTAGGCCAAAACGAACGGCTCAATCTTCGACTATTCATGTATCTTTCAAAGCTCCCTTTTGACAGGATCACACATCCACACACTCATGCTCACCTCTGCTTTATCGAACCGTAGGGTTAGTGAAGTTTCGCACCATAGCACTAGTGTATACCGTAGATACAAATTTTTGGTCAGAAAAATGATTTTGTTTCCGCAACATGTATACATACACTTTCATAGTGCGCAAAGGCGTTTTTTACAGAGTCCCAGTTGGTTCTCCTCAGATTCCAGTAAGGTTCGTACTTAGGACGCTCTTCGTCCATAGCAAATCGTATGTACCGATGATCGGAGGAGTGGTCACTAATGACTCTCCAGGCAGATATACGGGACATTATATCAGAAGAGGCCAGAGGGATATCTAAAACCTCTTCTCTACTTGCCGTTACAAAAGTGGGGTCGCTCCCCCTATTACATATACATACATTTTCATTTAGAATAGAGTTAAAGAGTGACTCACCTCTAGTGTTGATGTCTGAGATGCCCCAAATCGTATGGTGGGAATTCGTGTCACACACAATAACAACGCGGCCCTCCTGCGTCTAGCTTCTGCCACCGCATTCCTTATTAAGCGCGGAGGTGGCTCCACTCCGTCCTCGTGCGCCATATAAGCGGAGATCAACCAGAGTTCACCGGTTGCACCCTCCAGGCTCACCGTCACAATGTCACGATCGCTGAAAAGATGCAGAATAAAAGCAAATGATGAGCATGTAGGATCGAGGTCTACCTGCGTCCCGCTGCGCCACCAGTCTGTAGTCCCTCGTCCCGATACCAGAAACCGTATTGCAACTGCTCAGCCACGGCTCCTGGATCAGGACTACATCAACTCCACCTTTCTCAAGGCGGATTAAGAGGTTGGCTGACGCCGCCTAAGAGTGCTGAAGATTGATCTGAAAAATATTCATTCTCCGAAATCCTCTCCAGCAGGCCTCCGCAGGCGCCATCCCCATCGGACACAAGGAGCATTTCCTCCTCCGCCCTGTCGAACAGCGGGCCAACAGAAATGACCGATCCCGCAGCAGAAGGAGGGCTAGCAATGCTGTCACTGTCCGACATGACGGATTCGACCTCCATACCTACGGGGCATCCTCCGCATTCGTGTTTATGCCCGCCAGCGCAACCGGAACAGGCTCGTCCTCTCCCCTGGAGTCAGTCTTGTAGACCTTCATGACTATCTTCTCGAAGCTAAAGTAAATTACTCCGTTTTTTCGGCGAGGCTTTCGAGTCTGGCTCCCTTCCACACCTCCTCGATCAACGCTACTGCAGCCCTGTAGAGCGAGGCCGACCGCCCGTCGGCGTACACCACCTTCCTAAACATACCCTGGTGCCAACCAGCACTCTCGCACCGCGGCGGTGGCCCCGGGTTCTCCCTGACCACCCTCATGAAAACTCCTGATAAGGCCGACGACAACTTCCTCCAGTCTTCCCTGGCGATGGCCCCGTCCTCCTTACCCCGATCCAAACCGCCCAGAGTTGTTGTTGTTGTTGTAGCGGCTACAATAACCCCGCCCAGATCGGTTGATATCTCACTCGTTGCCGTCAAGTTCCACTAACGGCAGCCCTAGGAAGCATGCAGCCTCTACAGGGTCGGTCCGCAGGGACAATGCCGTTAGGGTTGTAGGGATTTCCGGGCATGCGAAGAGATGTTTCGAGTCGTGAGGGGTCTCTCCTCATGCCGGACACTCATTTGGCACATCCGCATTCAGTCTACTCAGGTATGAGTTTAACCTGCTGTAGTTGGGCTATTGTTTTTCTTGTCTCCGTGAATACCGTTCAGGGCCATTCGGTATGCTGACGGGTCCAGAGGCTGCTTGATGAACCTCTGGATTTCGTCCGTCAGTTCGTATAGATGCCTCCTGACGGGCCTAGGCGAGGGCTCCTTTGCAAGCAGCGGTCTGTTTGGGTGGCCACATCGGTGGCTCCCAATCAAATACTGCTTGCAGAGCATTATGCTATTCTCCTTGATTGGGAGCATTTGTGCCTCGTTATGAAGGTGGTGTTCTGGCGACATCAGGAGGCATCCAGTCGCTATCCTGAGTGCGGTGTTCTGTACTGTCTGTAGCTTCGTCCACTGCGTCTTACTAGTCCCCGGCGACCACACTGGTGTTGCGTAATTTAAAACCGGCCGGCCTATTGAATTGTATGTTGCCAGCAACGTTTCTTTGCCTTTGCCCCAAGTACTGCCGGCTAGCGACTTGAGGACCTTGTTGCGGCTCTGTACTTTATTGACAATAGCGGTTGCGTGCGCAGAGAAGGAGAGCAGACCGTCGAATATTACTCCGAGCCTTTTGGGGTTATTCACCGTCGGAATTGGTGTATATGGTGTATCGTGAACTCCCAGCGGTAGCCTGATTTCCTTCGTCCAGGTGGTGAACAAGGTCGCAGAGGATTTCGTAGGGGAGAGGGCTAGGCACTTCGCAGTGAAGAAGCGAGAAAGCTCGGAGGGATACCAGTTTACTTTCGAACAAAAGTCATGAATTCCATTCCCAGTCGCCATGATCGAGCAAGATAGGCGTAAGAGACAATCGAGACTCCCTCTGGTCGTTGGGGGAGCTTTGAAATATATAAGTTAAACAGTAGCGGGGAAAGGACATCACCCTGTGGAACCCCCTGTTTTATTTTCCTCAGTTTGCCCGATTTGTCTCTTAACATTACCGACGAGTGTCGACAACTCAGATAATTTGCCGACCAGCGTTTGAGCCTCTGTGGGAGAGAGGAAACCTCTATATCTTTTAGTAGCGTGGAATGGCTGACAGTGTCAAACGCCTTTGACAGGTCCAACCAGTGTTGCCACTGCCTTAGCCTTTAAAGTATCCATAAAAAATCGAAAACTGCGAAAACTGTATCCAAATGTATCCGCGGACATTTTTCATCATGCCTGTGCTGGTATATGGCGCGGAGGCATGGACAATGAAAGCATTTGATGAGGCGGCTCTTGGAGTTTTCGAGAGATTCTGCGAAAGATTTTCGGACCTTTAAGCATTAGTGATGGCGAATATCGCAGACGATTTAACGATGAGCTGTATGAGCTTTACAACGATATAGACATAGTGCAGCGAATTAAAATTCAGCGGCTATATATTTATGTGTATATATAAATATTTCTCCGGCAAAACAGTTACCAGGCAACTTAAAAAATAAACGTTGGTTTATAACTCTTATCGACGAAATAAAAAATATTTATCATCTAATAACTTTATGAATTATGAAACAACGTTTTTGCGATAAAATGTATAACTGTTATGGTACAAAAACATTCCATACAAATTTTCGAATTTCACTAATATGTAGTTGAAACTTTTACTAACATTGTGAATCGATATATCCCAAACAAATAAAATAAAAAACTTTTTAAAGTAGAAAATAATATTTCTCTGTCCCATAGAATTTGTTTTGATAATTTTTGATTTTGAAATTTTAGCAAGTCATTATAAATAATTTGTAAGATTGAAAACGAAAAACGTGGAGCGCATGCAATATAAAGCATTAGATTAGACCCTAGCACAACTCCGTTCTGGGTGGTGCCACAGACTAAACAGCTATCTCTCCCGGCTGAACCCAGAAGTGGAAGACACATGCCCTGCATGCGGGCAAGGTCCACACAGCACCCTGACACCAGAAGCACTATTGACCGCGCCTATCGACGCCGTCCGCTTTCTTGGCCTCAGGCTTGTCCGAGTCAGGGGACGAAGACGACCCATGACGAAACCCCGGGGGGTGAGTACTGCTGCTACAACAAAAACATTAGATTTAATTAACAATAGTCAAACTACATAACATAGACCTAAAATTTCCACAGCGAAAGTACGAATTTGACATCGATTTTAAGCGGTCATTATTCATATACCCACATACATACATACATATATTACTTTTCATATCAATTCGAGTCTATTACATGGTGAAATAAATATAAGGTGATCTCACTTACATAACCTCACTTTTTCTGCATGCCAATTGCGGCCATGCATTTTGGGGTAGTAGAAAAAGGGCGAAAAGATTAGGATTATTTTTACTACTTTTTGGGTACTATTTCCAATACATGCATATATCAGTGGACCCCACACCAGTTAAATGAACCTTGCATCAATAAAATACTTTTTCTGTAAACCAGTGTAATTACAGTTAAATTTTTTCGCTCAAAAGAATTATTATTACTTAATTTTTATTTTTTCGATCAAATATATTGATTTTAATAATTATTATTCATTTATATTTTCTAACTTTAAATTATTATTTGTAAAACTTAAAGGCCACACGGTCGTACCACACACATATCGATGGCTGAGTGGAAGATCGACCTATCTCGGCAGCCAGTTCGAAAACGCCCTATCTCAGAAAACTTTTCAAGAACGCCCTACTTCAGAATTTTATTGGAAAAGAATCTATTTCAGAATTTTATTGAAAACCACTCTATCTCAGAATTTTGTTGAAGAACGCCCTATCTCAGAACTCGGTTCAAAAAAGCCCTATCTCAAACGAAAATACATTGAAAATAAGCTGAGATAGGGCGTTTTTGAATCGGCAGCTGAGATAGGGCGTTATTCAACCCAATTCTCAGGTAGGGTGTTTTCCAATAAAATTCTGAAGTAGGGTGTTCTTGAAAAGTTTTCTGAGATATAGTGTTGTTGAAAAATTTTCTGAGATAGGGCGTTTTCGAACTGGCTGCCGAGATAGGTCGATCTTCCACTCAGCCGTCGATATGATGATGGTTAAAACTTAAAAAAATTAGAACTATTTTCCGTCTTTCATTTAAATATATTAAAACAAATTAAATTATACCGTTCTCTTTATTTAATTATTCTTAAGTTCTACTAAAAATTACATATTAGCCCGTATGGAATTTTATTTGTATTTTTTCCTTAAGTTTTTTATTTTTTTTTTTTTTTATGAAACGAAAAACCGACACCATGGGTCTTCGTCCAGAAATGTCTTTTTTGGGGTTTTAAATGGTGTTTCAACCTGTTTAAAAAGTTAAATTAAATTTTGGTGTTTTAACGCCATGCGGGTTCACTAGTAGTATATATTTTACTAAAAATTTACTTAGAAAATCACAATTATTGGAAATTATCGCTAAAATTTTCCAATGAATTTGAAACGAAAAGTCATAGCAAAAGCGAAACAAATAAACAGTTACTGCGTTTATACGTAAGCTATTTGCAAATAAAAATAATTTGCAAATACCTAAATCACTGTTAATTTGATGGTGAAAAATTCTTTTTTAATATTGCCTGATTATAAAAAGGAAATAATATGACCATCGAAAAAGAAAATAAAGTTAAAAATGAACTTGGTCTTGATTATTAAAAGGCCCATCGAAAAAGAAAATAAACCTAAGAATGGCGGCGTATTGCGCTTATTTGCAAATAGTACCACTAATCACAACTTATTTGCGTGATTTAGTTATTTTCAAATAAAAAATTAACTCAGCGTTTATAGGCAAAGCTTACCATTTTGCAAATTGTTATTTGCAACTAATACGTGCGTATAAACGTAGTAAATGATACCTACGCATACTTTTTTCACAAAATTGTCTGCTCCATTTTTGTTCCATTTTGCCCAGAAATGAAATTGGAATGAATAGAGTAGGCATTACTGTAATGCTGGTATGCCGAAATTGCCAAAATTACAACAACCACGCCCTAAGTGACAACACCTTATTATTATTTCACCATGGTCTATTACATGCGCCCCACGCTTTTCATTTTCAATCTCATAAATTGTTTATGACTTTTGCTAAAATTTCGAAATCTAAAGTTATCCAAACTAATTTTATGGGACTGAAAAATATTATTTTCTACTTTTAGGTCAATTTATAAAAGCGTGGTATATTAAAAAGTTTTAGTTTATTTTATTTTATTTAAACTTTTTAGTCTTGTGTCAATATAAAATTTTGCCACAGATTTTAAAATAATTTAACTTGCAGTGAATCAAGAAGACTATTGCGCAAAATACACCACACAAATATTTGCGCAAATACAAATTAGTACAAATAAGATTATTATTCAATTCCTATTTGTAAAAGTTGGGCCCAACAATTTTTGTAGTTATTTTGTGCAATGCAAGCCAACTGTTTTGTGCTCACGTAATTAATTTCATTTAAAGAAATGGCATTTCGTCCATTTCCGCTGTAGCGTATGTAGTGCATATTTTTAGGTGCAATATTTAACTACTTCCGGCAGGGCCTACCGTCGAGGTTGATGTCTAGACTTTTGTATAGGAACTTTGATTATAATCTTTAATTATAGGTAAAAATGATGTCTGGACATACAACATTGCAAGTTGATAAAAGCGTTGTAAAAATAGCAATTCTTAGGAGCAAAAGTTGATAACCAAAAATCTCCAAGCTATAAAGATTTTTCTGATTTCGCTACAGCAACGACAGCAGGCTCGTTGGTGTTGTTGTAACAGGATACAAATTCCCCAAAAAGTTTTTAGGGAGTGTTGCTAGAGTGACAGTCCTTGGCCAGATATAAATCTTAATGGGATTCTTGCTTTTCAGTTGATTTTTTAGGCATTTACGAGTTTAGATTATTTGTAAAAGATTGGAAACGAAAATAATTGTCCGTATGGGTTTGAAATTTATTTGAAAATGTCAAAAAAGTGCAGGGTGTATTTTCAATGCTCTTTGTCCTGGCTAATATGTTTACCCACGATCTCCAATTTTCTTTTTAAATACTTAAATATGTATTTCATAAATTATGTGTGTAAAAGATATTAATTATTTCAAATACAAATATTCAAAGTTATTTTGGAAATCGCACCGATTTAAACTTATATGATTTAAGAACGTGCCAGGGGTAGTTATTTTAAAATCCACGTAGTCCACGCATTCACCGATACTTTTATTGTTGTACCGGTTACTGATATTGAGATTGATGTTGCTGCGGCTGTCCGAAACTAAAGGACTTTGATGAACTTTCCAACGCCAGTGGGTCCTCAGTTGGCGGAGTAGGATTTCGGAATTGTTCTGCTGAAAGACGTGTAAATAAAATTCCAACGCCTTCTATTAATGCCAGCAAAACTCCGCCGATTATAGCACTGCCCGTCATTGCTGGGATTCCTGA